ACTGTTGATTGGGATATTACAAGGGCGGCTACATTGCCCCTGGCACATTAAGAGAGAGGTGCAGCAAATATTGAGCCTGGCGGGGGACCGTCCTATTTTCATGCACTGTTATAGGGAATCGAACAAGGTTGCTGACATCTTGTCCAATGAGGGGGTTTCTCACCCGCTAGAAGAGGTTAGGATTTATGACAGTTGGTACACGATTCCGATGCTAGCCAGGGGGGAAATTAGGCTTAACAGATTAGGAGTGCCTTCCATTAGAAGAATAAAGGGAACTAGGGATTTGGTGTGAAACACATGGGCATTGCCCTGTAAGCGACGTAGAAGATAATATTCATTGCTGGCTCAAAAAAAAAAAAAAAAAAAAACATCTTGGGGTCATTAAAGCAGCTATACATTTTGATAGTAGGGAATTTTCTTTTGTTCGTATGGAAGTTGAAAGGGTGTAGCTTTTGTTATTTCTAGATTGCATTAGATCTTTGTAACGTGGCTTTTTATTAATAAAATGGGGGCTAGCATCCCCACCCCCGGGACGGGGTTTGCCAAAAAAAAAAAAAAAAAAAAAAAAAAAAAGAAATGATAGCTCAACCATTTCTTTTTTTTGTTATGGCTTATTTTAAAGTATGATTGAAATCCTTGACTGTAATTACATTTGGAAGCGGTTATATATTTATTGCGAGGAGAAAGCTGAAATCCATTTTGAACTTGGTAAGTTTTTCCTGGTATTTGGAAGGGAGAGAGACCAATTAGTCACCCTCCGGAAAAAGATAATTGTTTTTTTTTTGCAAGAGAAAGTTAGCGAGGATGAGGAGAGTTTAGGCTGCAAGAGATTGATATGTAGTTATGTTATTTGGAATTGACTACTATATAATTGATTTGTAATTGATAGAGATTAGTAGGACGATGTTATTTTAGTAGTTGAGATAATTACTCTACATCATCTTTAAATAGCCAAGTTGTACTGCTATAATTGTTATGGACAAATCTTTCCATCTCTTCTCCTTTAGTCTGTTAGCTCTCTCATTTCTCTTTTCTTTTTCCTCTTCCGTATCTTTCCCTCTCTTTTTTTGCTCCTTTCATAATTTTTCACAATCTCATTCCTCAAGTTGGGTGATTCGGGATAAGTTGGGTGATTCAGAGGGACGGAATGTTAGTGAGAAGTCCCGAGTTTGAACCATCCTACTTATACTATAAAAAAAACTGCTAAATACTTAATTAGGGATTGAGCTTGAAATTTGTATTAGAGTGGTCAATAAATCATGTTGAAATTTTCTTAATCTACCACAAACTTAAGCTCCATTCTCATTCTTGACGGAAAGATTGATTCAATTATTGCAAGCCACTTATCACTAAATGATATAAAGCATACAACAAAAGCAAATAGTATGTTACATTAAATTCATCCATAAAAATTTTGACAATAGTACTTTGAAGAGTTTAAATTATATCAGGATGATCCTGATTTGAAACTTTTCAGGCACCTAATGACTTATTGCCACTTAGATTCTTTAAGTGTTCCATCCTAATAACAATAATTCTCCATGTATACAATCTTTATATTTGCTATTCCTTCTTTTTTTATTATTTTTCTTTTTTCTGTTTAGAGTAAGTTACCCAACTTTTACCATTTAACTTTTTTCCCTTTCTTTAAATTTTTTCAAAAACAATTTTTGTTTATTGCACTTTTTTTTAATCTTTTTTTTGTTTAAATATAATTTAGTTAGCCAACTTTTTCCTTTGTTTTTTCTTTCAGCCCAAAAAACAGTATTATCATCTTCGGACCATAGACAACTTCAAACATAAGATGAAATAGCAGTTAAGTTAGACTAATCACTAATTACAGATAAAACTTAAAAAGTAATATAACATTCTAATTTTGTGTTTAACTAGGGGATATAAAAATGAAATTTATGCCTCGCCACTGCTATTTAGCCAAGGTTCAAATGAAACAAACAATACCACTGCCACAAATATTGGGCGCTAATGCGACATCTCTTTGTTTGCTAATGTTTTAGTATAAATGTGCTCTGAAAATTAGTGAATTGGTAGGGATTAAATGGCTAAAAATGGAGAATTAAAATATAGATGGTAGTAGTAATTGGTCGAGTGAAGAGTTGCAGTGGTGCTGCAATTTATGCAGGCTGCCTTAGAGTGTTAGAGTTTAGAAGAGAAGGAAGACGAGACTTTGGATGGCAGAAATAGCAAATGTAAAGATTGTGTGAATGTAGGTACATTGTTATTAGGATGGCACACTTAAGGAAGCCTAAGTGGCAATAAGTTAATGGGTGCCTGAAATGCCCCAAATCAGGATAACCCCGAGATACTTTAAACTCTATCTTAAATTATAATGCTCAAAACATGACCCAAAAAATAGAGAACTACAATCTTAAAAGGCGTATATACTTCTTTATTGTTTAGAACACTAATTAAGTAATTTTTGAGTGTTCAACTTGGTTAAATCTTGTCATTCATTCACCAGATTAACCAATAATTAAATCGTCAAAGATGCCAAGTGGTTTGATATTTATCATTTATTTGAAATTGAAAAATTTATGTGTTATGTATTCTCAAAAATGCAAAATGTCTAATTCAAATAACTTCTTTTCATGAATAAAAAATATGAAAGAAAATTTAGAAAATGGGAATATGAAGATTCAAAATTTATAAGAAGTTGTAAATTTTGAAAATTACGTGAATGAAGTAGTACATGAAATAAAATAGTTGATAAATCACCCTTGTAACAATGTATAGTCTATTGCATGATAATGTATATCTTGATGGATTGAGCCATGCACTTTAGTACGCATAGGTGCATACCTAAATACACTTGACATATGTATACATGCAAATTCATTAATGCGCGCGCATACACGCGCACATGTATGTTCATATATGATTTTAATGAATACAAACGTGCACTTTGAAGATATAAATGTGTGCATATATATATATATATATATATTGCACTTATGTATGCTTAAATTAGTATATATACAAGTATTCATATGTATACATAAGGGTAAATTCATGAACTTATTTATAATATATACATATTATTCAACACCATATTCACAATTTTTCATAATCTTATATACTTCTTATTAAGTTTAAATCTTTATATTACCATTTTTTAGATTTGTCAAAGAGGATTTATAAGGGAAATATTCGACATCTAAAAGTTGGATCGATTGTACATTTGTATATTATAAATATCTAATAATTTTTCAATTAAAAAAAAAAGAAAATTGACTACCTTTACTTCTTGTGTGATAATTAGATTAAAATAATTAGCTACTTGTAAGATGTAATTTGCATATGAGAAAAAAATTAAGGATTATTACCTTTTCTAGTTAATCTACTAGTAATAATATATCAACTACTTAATCATATTTTTTTTTTGCAATACTTTATCTTATCATTTCACAAATTGCATGATATTTACTCTTCAATAATTTCAATGTTGAATCAATATACGAATCGACCATATATGTAGTCAACCAATATTTGGTTTCATGGAGAGCTTTATGAAGCACAAGTGGCCAAATGCTGGATTGGTTAACCACGAATATATTACTAACATACCTGGTTATGGCTTTTATAGGGTCACCCTCTTTTGAATGATATGGAGAACAGCATATGTCACAATAACCACAGTTATAACTATGATGTTTCTATTTATCAATGATATTGTGGGACTAAGTTGAGCTCTTGCTTTCTATAGTCACTGAAAATATGTTTTGCCATCATGATGCTCTTATCCGAGTGTTGCGTGTGGATGCAAACTCTTAGTTTGTATTGCTTAGTAACCTTAACACTCTCGTCCCATTGTTAATGTTATATTTCCACTTTTTGCTTGTCTCAAAATTTGAGTCAATTTGAAAAGTCAAACCACTTTTAAAATTACTTTCCAGTTATGCCCTTCAATTGAAAAGTCAAGATTCTACTATCAAATTGCACTAAACAAATGTGGAGGGCCCCGCCATAACACATCATCAGAACTTTAGCTCCTTGCTTTTTTTATTTTCCGTTTCTTTCTTGCACTTCAAATCTTTGTTTTTTTTTCTTTTTTTCTTCTTTTCTTCTTTTTCCTTGCTTATCATTTTTTTTCTTTTCTTTACTCTTTTCAAGTTGCACAAGACTTTGCAGATGCAATGAAAGTTTTATTTCTTGTCTTTCTACCTTTTTTTAAACAAAAGAACAAATTTCTTACAATAATGCAAATCACGTTTTTTTTGGATAAACAAATAAAAAATACTAGATGCATTTCTTACCCTTTTGTTTATCACTATTTAATTTTTTTAATGTAAAGGTGAAAAAAGAAAAGGTAAAATTTGTCCTATAACTTGTGTTCTTACTCTTAAATTTGCTTCTAGTATCAAACAAACAAATAAGTATAGTGAAAAAAATGTCAAGGGAAAAAAACAAAATGATCAACTAGTGCGTATTACATTGAAGTCCTAAACTTCCAAGCAAGGCATTAATTTGAAAGCACCAAAACTAAAATAACGTTTACTACTCATTGCTTCCAAGAATTCATGGTTGTCTACACATATCAATAAAGTTCAAAATCTATGCCCCTAAAATAGATTTGAGCGACAACCAAATCTTATAAAAAACCCTCAAAAATAACTTAGTAGCAAAAGTCAAGTCCCCCGTTTTGTGCCCCTAAAATGGATTTGAGCGACAACCAAATCTTATAAACAACCCTCAAAAATAACTTAGTAGCAAAAGTCAAGTCCCCCGTTTTGTACAAAGGCATTAGTAGCAAAAGTCTAGCACAAGTCAAGTCCCCTGTTTTGTACAAAAGCATTAGTAGCAAAAGTCAAGTCCCCTATTCTACACAAAAAACATTAGCATAATCCAAATCCAGAAGCTTGATCCATGACTTGATATAGAGAAAAAGAAATGAATCATAAGTTAGATAGCATTATCACTACCTAAATAGTTTAGAAGTTAGCAAATTTTAAATAATATGGAAATTCTAACCAATACCAGTACATTCATGCTTGTAGATAATGGATGATTTTGTCAATAAGCTCCTTATCACATCCAATTTGCAAAGGAATATTTCCATCTTTTATCAACCGTTGCTTCCTAATATGTGGAACTTTGTAATTATTCCCTCCGAAATTCTTCATCACTTCAAGCATACATAGTTGTAAGGTTAAGAACACATTGTTGAGACTTTCAGATGATAATTCGTCGAAGGACTTTTCAACAGCAAAAATTAGTTCATCAATAGAGCTAGGTGCTTCTTGATGCTGAAGTGATTGAATGGCTCTAAAATACCCAAGATCAAGAACATTCATAGCAGGGCTAATAGGCGGTTGAAATGATAAACGAATATCAAAACCTTCTCTTGTGGCAGCTTCTATCAACTCAACATCCATTGGATCAATACGTGGTTTTGCATTATCTTGTTGGATGAAGATAGGGCTGATAACATCACTTTGTGGCCGTTTAGCACGAATTGTAGGCAAAACATTGTCAATTAAGCACCTTCTATACACTTCCTTGGTCATTGATAGGATAGGCTTTGTTTCCAGAGTACCAGCAACACGATTTTTGCTATTCCTTTTAGCTGGTTCTTTGAAGGCAAAAGGAAATCCAATTTTTCCATCAAAGTTTTTGTTTCTAGAACAATCAAAGCGAGGTCGAGCAACTGCAGCTAGAAACATAACCTTAACAATAAACTTTTTACTTCTACAAGTCCTCATAGGGTGTTCTTCTTCAGGATGCAGGTAGTATTTCTCAGACCTTTAGTCATATAAAACCATTTTTCATCGATATGAACCATATTGAACATGTTTTTGAAAACAGGTGCATCATTAAGACTCTCTTGTTGAAGCATTGACAAACAAAATTTGAGTCTTACCAATTTATTGTCATCAGTAAGATGAGGCTTTAGTGCATTTGAATGTGGTTTGATAACACCTTCTTTTATTCGTCGATGAAGAGTGGACTTGGAAACTTTCATTTTGGTTGATAGAGAACGAATATTTGTTTGACACCGTAGAGGTATTTCCATGATAGTGCTGAAGTCTGTCTCTACCCTCTTGCGTCCTGCCATCTTAGGAAACCTGTGAGAGATGTCAACCGAACCTTCATTAATGATTGAAGACTTTGCTCTTTCCCAAATTCTTTGTACTGTCCTTGTGCTAATTTTGAATTGAGTTGCAATAACTTTGGTTACTCCTCTTTCTAGTTGCCCACCATAACTATATTGCAATAATGCTTCAAATATGGCTTGCCTTTGCTGATTTGTCAACTTTTTCCTAGAGATTTCATAATTTTGAAAACTATGATTATCCATGTTCACTGTGGAATACTATCAAACAGAATATGGGCAATAGACAAATCTCTCTCTAATCTCATTATATATAGTATAAAGACGTCAGAATTATCAGCTTCCAAAATCTCTTTATAAGAGACGTGAGAACAAAAATGTTTAAAAAAATGCATCTACAAATTTTCAATGAACTACCAAATTTCAAGGAAAGAAAGGAACAATAATAAATGGCGCCAAATAAAAGATTAGCTAAATTATGCTAAGTCTCAAGATTATCTACTTCAAATTGATCAAAAGATCATAAAACAAAATGAAAATAAAAAAAGATAAGCACCAACAAAGTGATAGACGGATGCGTAGAAATCTTACCTTTTTTCCGTTGTCAATCTTCTGGAGCTATCTTGTTGATTTTATGAAACCCAAATAGATAGAGAAATAGCCAAAGTTGCAAACGGTTGTCTGTTTTACTTTAACTTGTCTTTGTCTTTTAGTCAAAGTGACTAAATGGCAATATAAGTAGTCCCCAGCAGCTGATTGTTTTAGTAAACATCAAAGGGTATGATTGCAAGAGTAAGATAAGTGTGTCCCCATAATGCTACGTACATGAAAAGTGTGTTTCCCAAAAAGTGTCCCAAATTTTGGGACAGAGGGAGTAGTAACAATGGTCGAATCTATTGAAGCTATTGTCAAGTCCTTGCAAACCTTCAAACTTTTAAAATCAATAGCCTGAGTGACCAAGTTGAAACTCATGACATAACCAAATTGAAGTTTTAATAGACTAGTCAATTGTGGTGTAAAAAAGAAATATGTCATATATTAGTAGATTGGTGAATTAATTTCTTGTGCTTTTATCCTTTCATAGAATTAGTCTGCTTGTATCTTAGTGTTGTAAGTACTACTACTATATAAATACATGGATTAATAAAATGTACGTTGATGATATGTTTATATATTAAAAAAACTAATATGCAGATCAACTAGTTTTGTAAAATCTAGAATCCTTTTTTTTAATCATTATTTGAAACTCAACCATGTAACCATTCTTAAAACAACCACCAATCCTATATTAGAGGATTTGATGCCATCTCTTGCACTACTTGAATTAGTTCTTGTTAATCTAAAAACTTTTGCTCTTGTCTTTAGTTCTTTCTATTGCAATTGAAAATTTATCAATAGTTTCTATCCTATAGAGCATATTAGGATTGCTTGACTGTTAGACAGGTATAAAACTCACTAGATCGTGAATAGCCGAATTTAGGATTTGCAAGTTGGCTTTGTTAGAGAAGAGTGAGATGAAAAGCTTGAGATGGAAAAGAGAGAAGAGAGAGATAAAATTTTGTATATGCTTTTGAAACAAAAATTGCGACGAATGCATAAATTAATAGAATTAACAGCTTTTAAAATATGACCATTTTTAATGATTTTTAAAAATATTTTGAAATCATGTTAACTTTGAAGCACCAAAATTTTATAAAAGAATGTCAGCAATATAAAAATTTTCAAAAAATTTAAAATATCTAGCCTAGAGATTCAAACTTAGCAAGCACAAACTCATAAGTCATGGGAAAATATATTTTTGCGTGAGTAATTGAAGAAACTTAGTTGTTTGAATACGTGACACCATACTGTAGAATCCAAATTTTAGGGTTCTAATAATAATCAATACGTGTGGGATTATAGAATTGAAGGAATAATAATCACTCAAAATATATATGTGAGAGAGAAGAAAATAAGAAATTCAACTCACAATATTTTTTAAATTTCAAACAATGAAGAAAGTCACACCATAATAGAATACCTTACAAACTCTTCTAAATTCTCTCAAGAAAACATCCTAAATAACGTCCTATTTATAATCTACTAGATTTGTTAGAAAAGAAACCACTTGCATAAGAAATTACCAAATAAAACACTAATTCCTAAATCACATAACTATTAAAAACCTAATTCCAATAAAACTAATAAATAAATACTTCTAGCCTTGGTTTGGTTTGCTAACATTGCCTCCCTTAAACCAAACTCTCCATTGAGACAAGTCCAACACCATGTTCAGCAATAATTTCTATGCAAATCTCTGTCACAGTATAATGGACATGCAACTCCATCTTGTTACCCGTAATTAATTTCATCTTTATACGTGGCAGTGGACATACTTTGTATTTTGCCAACAATTTTTCAGCAATTTCTTCTTGATCAAATTACCCACTCATACAAACTCATTTATCACCAAAATCACTATTTACCACCAATGTAAGTGCCCAAAAGTGCAAAATCATAAATTACTTTCTTACCAAAATTATCATTACCAAATAATTAAAAAATAACCATTACCATAATCATCCAAAATTTTCATATTGTCAATCAACTCTTTTTGAGCAAAATATTTTTGAACTCCAGTGAAATTCATATCTATCAAATCAAATATCTTTCCATCATCTTGAAAAGATTCTAAACCAATCAAATTTTCAACAATTGTTTTTTCTTCATATACCAAATCAGAATTTTCTTCTTCCTTTATCAAATTACCACATTGTTTTTATTTAAAAAATTCATGACTCCCAATTTCTCCAAATAAGGTATGCAATTCAGAACTATCAACTGATTCAAAATTTTCAATATCACCCACATCATCAATAAATCCATCTTTCTCAAAATTCACAAACCAATACTGTGAGAATTTGAAAATTCGCTTATATTTTCTTATAATCCTCTTTTATTTTGAATAATTAATTTATAATTTCTTTGATAATCATTTACTTCTCTTAATAGTTGTAATAAATAATAGAGTCAAAAATTTTACTTTTACTTTTATAGTTACTGTATGTTAGGGTTTTTGGTGCATTGGGGTAGTGTGATCAATTGATGAGGTGTGTGCACTAAATTTGGTGGATAAGAGCAGGTATTAACTAAAAAGAGGTATGTGATTAAAAGTGCTAAGAGTAAGTTAGTGAATCATAAGTTAAAAGTACAAGAGAGACAGGGAAATAGACATAAACCGACTCGCTCCGTTTGTTACCGGTCGAGGACACCACTTGACCAAGACTTTCTTTCCCTAATCTTCTTATTTTTCTTTTATTTTTATTTCCCTAATTTTTTCCTAGGGTTGCCCGAAATTATTGACTAAGAAAGAGAGGAAAAGAAAAAAAAAAGAGGAAAAAAAGGCCTTCTTAGACCAAAAGCTTTCATCCATCTTTATCTTTCCTACCATCAAAATTTCATTCATTTTGCTCCCTTCTTGGCCGACTCTTGAGAGGAAAAAAAAGAGAGAAGAAAGTTTCAAGTTTCATCTTGATCTTGCCTTGATTGAGTGAGGAATCAACAAGAACCACAAATCTAAACCGAACAAAGTTGCAACAAGGTGACAAGGAGGCTTGTAGTGGAGTGATTTGGAGAGGAAAGCCTTAGTTTTTCACTTTCTCCTAGAGGGTTGAAGGTATTAAGTTGGAAAACTCTCCTTCTTTTTCTTATCTTGCAATTTATTGGGTAGATGACTTGAAATTGGAAGTTTTATGGAAGATATCATGGATTTGTGAGGATTGGTGAAATTTCCAGCCTAGGGTTTAATTTTCCAACCTTGTTTTATATTTTTCAGCCATGATATGATGGTATCTGGCCTTGTTATGGACTTGTATGAAGATTTCTAGGTTTAACATGACTTTTTAGCTTCCGAATAAGGATTTTCTAGTTTTAGTTCCAATTTTTCAACTTTAGTTGAGAATTTCCAACTTAGGTATATGATTAATATATGCTAAGTATATGCTTGAATATAGCTAGTTTTGTGGCTAAAATAAGCACCTTATGTATCTTATAACTTGTAGGCTTGTTTGGGGCTGTTTTGTTATGGCTTGTTAGCTTGGCAATTTGAGGAAAAGTGAAGGCAAAATAGGGAAAGTGCTGTCCATTTTTCTTCTTGTGGGGTAAGTGAGTGAAAGTTGAAGTAGAGGTATGATTTATGATCGATTTGGACTTAGTTTACTTAGGGATGTTTAAGTTGACCTTAATGGTGATTCATAAGCTGAATTTTTGCCAAAAGTATACATTTCTCAAAGGTGAAGTAACGGTCACTTTAAACGAGATTTTCTAATTGCATATGACAAGCTATAAACTTAAAGGTTTCAATCGTTTCTTTACCAAAACCAAAAGAGCGGGCTTATATTTTCTAGGGTTTATCAAGCATTATGATTACTATTTAAATGATTTTTATTTACTTGGTTTATCCTTGATATTAATAAGCAAATGTCGTATATTTTGAAACCCTATTTGATTATATGTTGTTATACGACATTTTATCGTAGATTTTGACTCTGGCCAAGGGGTTGGGCCTAAGTTTGATTTTGATAAACAGTGAATCACTGGTGAGTGTCTCCAATTGCATGACCGAACTTGATACTTGAATGCAATGCTTTCTTAATGTGATTGGATAGTACT